TATTCCGAGAGAGAAGAGATTTCAAGAAGGCTATTGATGCTGAGAGCGAGAACCCGAGTTCCAGAGGGGCTAATCCACGTCTTGAGAGGGGGAGTCATGCAAATGAAAAAGGACACAGTCTTTATAATTCCATTCCATACAGAAATGAGTAGACTCTTAAAAAATTATTTTTGAGATGAATTTTTTGACCCGATTTTTTAGGGTTATTTTGTATTTTTTTTGTTGTAGAGATTTGAGGAGTATACAAGATATTTATTTTAAGAGTTAATTTTTTAGATAGAAAGGAAAACGTACTTTGTTGGTAAAAAGGTTAACTTTCTTATAAAAGAAAGGAGATTTAGAAGGAAAGAGATAAATGTGTTCTATTTATTTGTTTTATTATTTCTAAGTGTATTTAAAAGAAAGAATCCGTTATTATAAAAAAACAGAGATATTTTTGAGGTGATTCCCTTATGGAACTCGAGAGAAGACATATTTTCTCAAATTTTTATTTTTTGATTTATTATTATTTCACTCTCAAACTTTTATTTTATTTTAATTTTTAGATTTATTATTATTTCTCCCTTGTTGCACGAGCCATTCCTGAAAATGCACTATTCTTCTATTCGATTATTGTATGGAAATTGGAAGGGTGGTTGTAATAAGCATGCATGTGTCTGGTGAAGTGTCCGAATCATGTGATTCGAAGCATAAAGAAGATGATGATGCAATGTAAAACACTCGTTCACTCTGAAGGCCGGAACATGTGGGGTTTGCATGTGCTGAAGGTAGGCAGCATCATTAATTTTTTTTTGAACAAAGCCATAAAAAATACTGCTAAGGGTCTTAATCATTATCCAAAAATTATTGTTTAAAAAATAATGGTTCACAAATCCCCCTGTTTCGATCGATATACAATAGACACCTACCTGGTTTAAGATTGGAATCAACGTTGAAGTTGTATATGGATCAGAAAATTTGATATATGGACCAAATAATAAAGGGTGCGGTTTGCATAAAGCCGAGGCTCTAAACAATCAAAGTAAAGCCCACCTTCAAATGGTGTCGAGAAATGTAGTTTCAATACTGAAAAACTTTGTGATGGCCTTCAAATATATTTTCACCACTAGTTATAAAATTTCCAGCTTAGAAAATAGTGTAGATCGAGCATATCAAATTATTGAAAATTGACGGCATAAAAATGGATTATAAGATGCACTATTTTTAAAACTTGAAATTCACTTTTTTTCATGTCCATGCATCTTGATGTCGAGATGATCAATTTGAGGATATTTGGGCATCAAAACAACCTCTTCTAGTGAAATTTTTGACGTGGACTCTAATTTGATTGCTTAGAGCCTCAGCTTTATATGAACGTTTTTCAACAATAGATTAAAAGATTATATACTATGAGACCATTGTCCTTATTACAAGGAGGCCACAATTATTTTTAGCTATTGGACGTCAGATTAGATGGCTTGATGTGTGACATGACTTTGAAATTTTTTTAAATTCAACTCACGGGGAAATGTTTTGGGACCCCCTTGTACCAAAAGGTAACTGGCCTTTTTGCATATTTTATAGAAGTGTTTGGTGAGTCAGCCGACTCATATTATTTTCGTGTGGTCTCCCTACAAATGTATCTCAAAGATGTATTTTTAATCCAAAATTTTACTGTTCGATAATCTCAACCATGACGATGATCTAAATTTGGACTTTTTATTTTTCAAAAATTATAATTTTTTTGAATGATTTACGTACGGCCCTAATTTTTTTTTCTAAAATACGAAATGCTCCGTTTATAAGTGAAAAATATAAAGAAGGTTGATCAACCACATTTTTTTTTTTAAATTACCCCTTAGTCTGAGGCTACCATCCTTAAACTGAAATTTAATGTTTTTTAGGTTTCTTGTTGACAGAGAAACTAAAACTAAAATTAAAATTAAAATTAAAACTAACAAACAAACAAAAAAAAACTAAAAAAACTCAGCTCGAGGATCCTTAGACGGAGAGGCAATTTAAAAAAAAAAAAAAAAAAAATGTGGTTTGAGCGTTTCATATTTTAAAAAAAATTTAGGGTTCGTATATGGATCACTCTTTTTTTTTTTTCGTTTTTAATTCCCTTCTTCACTGTCAATTTTAACTTTTAGTGGATGTAATATTTTTTGACATCCATCTTAGAGAAGAAAGAATGCATGGTAATAGGTGACTCCGCTAACTCACCAAAATCGTGTCGATATACTCCATAAATTTAGGTACGTTTTGTAATATGTGTATTTTTTATCAAATAGCCAATGTAGTTTATTGGCCAATTTAACATTTCAAATACGAAAAGACCATTTATCTTTGGGAAAAGTTTATATAGAGCTGAGGCTCTAAACAATAAAATTTGAGCCTACAACAAAATTTTCACTAGAAAAGGTTTTTTTGGTGCCTAAATATCCTCAAATTGATCATCTTGATATCAAGATGGATAGATATGAAAAAAAATAGATTTTAAGTTTTGGAAATAGTGTATTTTGTAACACATTTTTGAACCGTCAATTTTCAAGTTTTTATAGATCTATCGATCATACTATTTTGAAGCTTTAAAATTTATAAATAAAGATGAAAATATATTTTAATTATCTCTCAAAGATTTCCAATATTGAAGCAACATTTCTTGACATTATTTGAAGGGAGGCTCTAATTTAATTGTTTAGAGCTTAGGCTCTATACAAACCGCACCTTTTATCCTTTGTACAAAAAAGTCACAATCATCGTGTCCTTCAAATTTCAAAATTAGTGGTTATACCAAAAGGTCACAACTATCCTTGTCCTTTAAATTTCAAAATTAGTGGTTATAACAGTGTCACTAATCAAAGTATCAAAAACAAAGTTGAACTACTCACCCTAAACTATCCAATTTGACATCTAATAAGTGGGAATAGTTGTGACCTCCATGTCTAAAAGATAAATGATCCTTTTATGGACAATCTCATTATAAAAATATACATATATTAGTTTTTGTTTGTCCAAATATTTTTCTTTTGATCACAAATCTGGACCAATCCACCACACCAATTTCTTTTTTGAACACCGCTTAAAGCTATGAACCGATGAGATTGTGGTTTGCAACCTTCAACAATCAAAATAGGGTGCACCTCAAATTTTGTCATGAGATGCAATTTTGAGGCCTAAAATTATTAGGATGGTGCAATAATCTATTGTTTATCTCTAATTATAAAATTTTAAATAAAAAATTGGTTCAAATCTAACATATCTATAAATGCATGAAAATATTGAAAATTGGAGGTTTCAAATAATGTCTTGAGAGATGTACAATTTTTAAGACTTGAAATATCATTTTTTCTCCATATCTATACATGTTGATGTCGGGATGATCAATTATATACTTTTCCAATATCAGAACAACCTTTTTAGAAGGATTTTAGTGGTGCAAATTAATTCTATATTTTAAGGTATTAACCTTTATATAAACATCTTCCTCTTGAATGTGTTATTCAACTTTGGTTGTGGTAAATGTAGGGTGTCAACCTAAAACAATCAAAGGTGCATGTTCGGACCCTATTGGAGATGCTTTTTTATGGTTTCGAAAATCTCTGCAGTATTAAAAATCTCTTTCCACCCCTCGTTATAAAATTTAAAGCTTAAAAAAATTTAAATTGAATAGATCTATAAACACTAGAAAGTGAATGGTCCAAATAATATTTTACAAGATTAACTATTTTAAGGCCTTGAAATCCTCTTTTTTCTATTGATATCTAAACATCTTGAGTTCTAGATATTCAATTGAAAAGTTTTTTAGCATCAGAACAACCTTTTTTAATAAATTTTTTAGGTATAAATTAATTTTTATATTATACAACATTGATGCCTTGGACAAACTTTTTCATTTAAATTTTTAAGAAGAGTTGACCTCAAACGAAATGTCTCCCTCCCTTCAAGGTGATGAGGAGTTAAAATGCCATTTGTCTTTCAGGTATTTTTATCTCTCAATCTTTAAATGTTAACATATAACTCTTGTTATTTGACATTATTTGATGTACTAAATATGTCACATCGTACAAATTTGCCTTCACATCGTCATCATCAAAGTTTTTTCTCAATTATTTGGGGTAGGTTATACGAATTTTGGTCCATCCTTTTATTCTATCAAGAGCGATACTCTCAATAAGATTATAAATCCCCATATATTTTTCACTACTTCCAACCATATCTTTTTGAACTTACCCTTGTCTTTCTTTTAGTTTTCCACTTGAACCAACTCGCACGCTATATTGGGTCTGCACAGCATATGACCAGCCCATTTAAGTGTACTTTCTTTAATCTTATCATCTATCGGAGCCACATCTAAATTCTCCCTTTGTATATTTATCTTATCTATAAAAATTTGATTAGTGACAGTGTAACAGTGTCACCTGTTACATCTATCAGTGACAGTGTAACAGTGGTTGTAACAGTTGTAACAGTGTCACTTAAGCTGTACAAATTTGTCTTGTAAATGTTTATAAGAAGTTAGAGACCCTTCATCCGCTAGGCAATTCGCTGGCATATTTTTGTATGTATTTTCATCTTTAAAAATGTAATCAGAGCATACTGCCATCCGTCAATAAATCTGTCTGTTAAATAGTTGCAGGCCCTTTAGAATTGCTTTGGCTTCTATTTCCAATGGAGACCGAGATGGAGCTGCTGTCAAAATTTAAGTTAGGAAATCCCTCAAGTTAGGGTTTGATTCCTATTTTTTAAGAAAATGTTTTTGATGAGATTATTTACTTTTGAAACAAAAAGGTCACAATCATTATCAACCATTAGATGTAAAATCAGATAGGTGATAATGTGTCACTAATTAAGCAAAAAGTCCGAAATTTTTTTTTTCAAAAACTGTGATACACTTTTAAACATGATAGATTTCACATCCAATGGCTAAGAAATGTTATGACCTTTCCGAAACATGGATCAATTACCATAAAGCAGCAATCAATATAGGGGAACCACTAGGGAGATTGCAAGTAAAGTCCTGGCGAGAGAGAGAGAGATCACATCAATAAAGAAACAGAAGGAATATAGATACAATGGCAATAATTACAGTCTTGGCCATCCTAAGATATCATCCACCACTTCATCAACTAACGCCTGAAACAAATCCATCTCAACCACCGTCCCCAATTCAAATCTCTCAGCCTCAAAGTCCACCCACTTCCCCAATCCAATGCTCATATCTTTCTCTATAATTTCATCAACCATGCATTCTCCCATGCTTTTCCACCTTGATATTTCTACGCATGCTTCTTCTACCAATCCATGCTTATTTGAAATAGCTACGAGCCCTCTGGCCCATACTTTATACCCACCCTTTCCACATCGGCTATATTTTGAATCCACAAACTCCCCTACACAATCAAAAACCACCTTCCTATGTAAAAAAGCAGCTTTACTATCCATGCGGTCCTCTTGCTTTAATCCACGCTCATGATTTCCTCTCTCTAGCCTGTCAAAGAGAAGTGGATCGATAAACTCGCCTGAACCTGCCAAATACTCAGACCTTAAATCTGAGCTGCTAATAATTTCCCTGACATATTCTAGTTCCGCTCTCTCTACTCTCTGTTGGCCTCTTTTGACGCCAATTTCTAATGGGGTAAAGTTGCTTATCTCTGGTATAAGAGAGGAAGCAGAATCAGATAACTCTTCAGCCTCTGGTTCTGCTGTCTTAGATAGCAATGTAGGATGCAGCTTGATACCTGAAACATAGAACAAGAATGATGAATCTGGGGTTACATCCAAATTTTCATTATTTGGAAATGAGAGGATCCTCTGCTCAAATGAAGTGAAAAAGAATTAAGAAATAAAACAAGATTTCAAATCAAGTGCGAACAATGGGCTATATACACATACCAAGTGTACTGCTATCAAAGCTCTCGGACGAGTTGCAACTATCACATGGGAAAGCAGCCTCAAGAGTTGAGACTGGGCTCTGGTAGTCACAATCATCTCCAGCCATAGATTTCAAGGTGGCAAGGCGTCCTTTTGTAGCATTAAGTTTGCCGTCCCTTGTTGTTTCAGGCACCTGAATGGTCATGTGGAATGTAATTTATAGGAGGTTAAAAGAAAACTCAAGTCATGCTTAAGACAAATGAAAATGCGGCGGGAAAAGAGACATTCTTTTTGTTTATGGTTTAACAAGAGATTCAAAATAATTGAGAAATTAACAATTTTTATATATCATAGTCTATTTATTTATTTGTTTAAGTTATACACGACTTAACTAGGCACCTACAAGATGACGTACTGTGGGGTATGTTGTTCGCGGACGACATAATTTTGATCGATGAGACCCAAAGCAACATCTACACAAAGTTAGAAGTTTGGAATGATACTCAAGAATCTAAAGTTTTAAAAATGAGAGGGATAAAGACATAGTATATGGTAATAATTGGAATAGAGTCGGGGAAGAAGTTAGGATCGCCGACCAAAAAATATCAAAAAGAGCACACTTTCAATATCTTGAGTCCATAATCCAGGAAAATTGAGAGATTGCAAAAGATGTAGCACATAGAATCAGAGCTAGGTGGGGGAAGTGGAGATATGCAACTGGAGTTTTATGTGATCACCGGATACCAATGAAGCTAAAGGGGAAGTTCTATAGGATAGCTGCGAGACCAGCTTTGTTTTATGAAGCAGAATGTTGGGCGGTCAAGAAACAACATACCCATAAGATGAGTGTAGTTGAGATGAGAATGTTGAGATGGATGAGTGACAAGACAATAAAGAATAAAATTCAAAATGAATACATTCGGGAGAACTTAAGTGGGGCTCCAATAGGCGATAAGATGACATAACGTAGACTAAGGTGGATTGAGCATATGCAACACATGTTAGGAAGTGCGAGTTGGATCAAGTAGAAGACTAAAAAATGGCAAGGGGTAGGCCCAAGGGACATGAATAGAAGTAGTAAGAAAAAATATGGGGACTTATGGCCTCATTGAGGGTACGGCCCTTGATAGAGCAAAATAAAGGACCGGGATTTGTGTAGTCGACCCTTGATAGTTGGAAAAAAGGCTCGAATGATGATGAAGATGATAATAGTCTATTTATTTATTTGATTCAACAAGTAAGCTAAAGAGCACATGCTATGATCTAATGCCCTATATTTTGTAACAAATGATACGCTTGACCATAATCAGAATGAGAGAAGCAACAATTATTATATCCAAGATTTCACGTAAACCACAACAATTAGTTAGGCCTCCAGTAAGTCCCGCCCATAAGGGGGAATAGTCAACTAGATCACCATGATAATGGAAGTAAATGTCACTTAAATTTAAGGGGGTATTGAAATCCAGTTGTTGGAAAGATTTGCAGGATTCACAAGGTATACACTAAGTTTGACTAATGCAATATCGATAACTGCACTAGGTTATATGACCTAGATCAGTCATCCTCAGACAATTTCTGGCTATCTTCTTTAAGTCTGAGATCCCCTCAATATCATTGGTCGTGATAATTAATGAATATGCTATGCATACAAACTGTTCAATCCACAAATCCTTTTGGGTTTAACTATGACCCCAAAAAGACTTATTTCATCAAGGAAGCAGATTCAGCAATTACTCTTTTAGTATCAGCCCTTTATTTTTTACTCAGCCACCTAGAACATGGTTTGACCATCTTGTCCCCTTCACAAAATGTAGACTCAACTTGGCACATTTGTGAGTGTAATCTTGAGGAATAGACAAAATGTTGATGATATACTTAAAAAGTGAAGAAGAATTATTTAGAACGAAAATATCTTAAACTGAAAGGAAACTGAACCACAGAAATGAGGTTCATTCACTGAAAACGACAATTTAACACCCTATTTTTCTCACTTCAATGTTTCCTTTACTTAAGCATTCTTAGAGGAAAGCCCTATTAATCAAAAGAAAATCAAAATTGAGTCACATAGAACCATTCAAGCCCAGTTTTACCCTTATTTTCTCAGCTCCTTTAGTACAGCATCCTTAGAGGAATAATTAAGACCTTTTTCTGAAGACTGGAATGATTAACTTGTATTAATCAGGTAAAAAGAAATTCAGTCATACCAGAACCATTCTTTCCCGAATATGACCTATAAAATGTTAAATTCCCCCATCCTAATTACTAAATCAAGTTCTTACATTTTCCCATCCTAATTGTCCTTCTGATATGTGTGGCTATTTTAAAGAAAAGCATGGTCTCATTAGAGGTCAATTAAGTCGGATAAAATAAAGCTGTGGTAGAATATTTCCTCCACTTTTTCTCTGGTTTTGAAAAGAGAAAAAATGAAAACTTAGAGATAAAACACAATGGAAGATAAGAACAACCTGCTCAATCTTAGGTTTTCTATTAGGTGTCTTAAATATAATGCATGTGTCTAATGTCACTGTAGAGTTCAAGACGATCTCTCAACGTAACACTGTAAAGCAGTTTTCATTTTTGGGACTAAGAATTCTTATTGAATCAATGTCATTGTGACTCCGTTAATATAACATATCACCACACCAGGTCCTTGCTTAAGTACCTCTGCATGACCTGGACCTAACAAACTTAAATATTAGGGCAATTATCATAAATATCCCTCGTCATGGATACGATACATCTGTGGCACTTTGTACAAAGCATCACGATTTTCATAGAACTGTGGAGGTTGTTTAAACCTCCAAATCCCATGCACTTGCTTGTAGGGGCACCACCACGGATCTAGCAAGTTTATGGTGGTGCGTCATGGACCTCTTAGGTCCGTGATGGTGCCTAAGGCACCATCCAGCCCCCTAGATGGTACAGGAGCCTCTGGCATCACCACGGACCTGTGCATTAGACACCTTCAAGAACCCAACAGACCTAGCAGGTCTGTTGTGGTGCTGTCACTGACCTGAAAGGTCCGTGATGGTGCCCGTGTTGCTTTGTAGAGCTACAGATGTATCAATTCAATATCGACATTAAACAAAAAATGAGGGGGAAAATAATGGGAGATTTTGGAATATCAGTAATATCCAAAATTTTGAACGATATTTCTAATAAAGTTATCTTATGGAGAACCACTGCAATCACTCTCATGAATAACTAAATGACTAATGAAGCACACCTAGCATTTTTCCAGTCCCATTTGATATTCCCTTCACCACAGTTCCTCACGAAACTATCCGCTCTCCTCTTCATATGAATAATAAATCGCTCCCCATCATGATAAATCTCTCTCCATCAAGTGGAAGATTTCCCCACTCCGGAAAAGGGCAAGCACCACTTCTCCCTGCTAGCGTGCTACTATTTATGGTTGCAAGCATTTTCATTCCACAAGGTTAATGTTGCTATAACACTTTCAAAAAACAAAAAGGTTAATGTTGCTATAACACTTTCAAAAAACAAAAAGGTTAATGTTGCTATATTTTATGTCAGAAGGTTCTCAAAAGCAAGGCCCATTTCAAACAGTTATATAAGTTGACTAGATGAGCCAAACGCATATAAATCTAGATGTATGGTAAAGGGTTATAAGAAAGGTAATAGAAAGGTATTATATGCATCGCTCCTATGAGCTGAAGGTTTGTCCAATCTAAGGTATTTTCTAGTGAAGGCTAAGTTAGCATGGGGTTTACACCCCAAAAACCTTCAGAAAATAAGCTCCATAGAACTACAGAATGATCCCCAAATGTTCTGGCAAAGTTGTGTATCAACCTCTAGTTCCTCCCAGGACAAAGTACCAAGAGATTACAGCGTTTCCAGCATTGGATTGGCTGCCAGATTATAAACTAGTTGGCAAACTAGAGCAATTATTATTTTAGGTACTCACTCCACGAATGAAGTATCACAATAAAAGAACTTCCAAACAGGAAAGAACAGAGCAATGCACATACCAGAAACTCAAGCTTTGTATTGGATGTAGGACCACATGCTGACCAGCAATCAGATTCAATCGATGAAGTGCCTCTACACGAATTATCTTTTTGAGGCCTCACTGTGCCCTTCTTCTCCTCTTCCTTTGTCGCAAGGCTTTGAGTATTAAGCTTATGTATCAAATCTTGTAATATGGATGCCGTTGCAAGGGCACCAGAAACCTTTGATGATGTAACACCAACTGATGTCAACTCCTTCAACTTCTGTTCTAGAAGAGAACCCAAAGCATCTCCCCCTAAAACTCTAGAACCATGGTTTGATGATGGATGCCTAGTTTTAGCACTCGAGAAGTTCATTTCACCACGAGACCCAAAAATCAAATCATCTTTGACAATTTGTGTGTGCTCTTCTGTTGTTTCCATATAGGGACGAGGTCTAGGCATGGGCATCATGGGGGAAGAGAAAGTAAAGGAGACAACATCCATACATTTACTACTACTACTAGAAATGGTCTCTTCATCAGGGTGCCACATGTTATTCCTTTTCTCACTTTCTGCTCGTCCAGAGAGATTTCCTCTGAAAACCCGTTTATCTTCTGCCAAAACAGTCACTCCAGGCCGTCTCTTTTCAGCACGTAGAGCCCCATCTATCTGTCTTTTCTTTCCACCTGAGACCTTGTCTCTCGAAGAGGCAGGTTCTTTGTCTAACGCACTTCTCTCTAGGCTTGCTTTCTTGATTCCAGCTTTTGCAACATTTGTAAATCTATCTTGAGACTTGGACCGTGGCTCATTTTTCCTATCAGAAGTTAAACCAACATGTTCTTTAGTAATGGAAGGCTTACTAGAAGATACCTTAGAAGAGTTTTGTTTGAGGTTGTTCTGCTTAAGAACAGAAGAAGGCACAGGTTTCTTCTGCTTAGTGTTTTGAACATTTGGTTGGCTTCGTAATTGGCGGTTCAATCTGGACTCATCAGGTAGTGCCTTTTGGACCATAGAACCATTAGACAAGCCCTCCCTTCTCTGCACATTGACCTTAGCTTGAACAGCTAGCGAGATTGATTTTCCCCGATTCCTCCCAATAACTGAACTGCTGTCACTCTCTTTGGAATTTGGACTGACCCACTGAGTCCTTTCATTTCCTTCTTGATTGTTTCTTACTAGATGCTTTGATTGAGAATTACGTGAAATCAAAGGTATATTCATATTCTCATATTGGAACCTTTGGGTGGTTGGCCTTTTCTCAATCAAACAAGTTTTCTGTAACTTCTGGGGACTCATTTCCATGGATTTCTTAGACACAATATCAAGTTTATTTGACTGATTTCTAATGGGTATGCCATGGATTGCTACAGTAAACCGGGTTGAGTTGGTTTCTAAAACATCTTTGGAGGGTAAAGAGTCGAGACCCATGAGCCTGGCTACCACACCAGGTGCTTTGCTACCAACCACTTCAACTTCTGTTGAGGAAGCGATGCTGCTTGTTTCACTTCTTTTTGTATGTACATCCTGTCCTCTGTTCTCATCCAAAATCTGTAGTACAAAGAGCAAAGAAAAGCATTTCAGAATCTCCTAAAAATGAGCAATAATGAAAGTGAAAAACAATTGTTTTTTTTCTATATAATTACATTGTCAACAAACAAATGCATGTAATGTATAGTTACACTTTGAACAAATAAATGCTAGTAATATGGCAAAACATACTGGAAGAAGCTTGTCCAGTAGCATCTTCTCATCATCGAACTTCCTTGGATCTTCTTTTTGTGTCTCTGTAAATGAATGCCACAGAGAACAAGAAATCTATTGTCAACCAATTCATGAGAGAGAGAGAGAGAGAGAGAGAGAGAGAGAGAGAAAAAGCTATGAGGCTGACACTTTCACAAAATTTGTTGCAATTACGACAGGCTTCATATCTACTTCATGCCGGAAAACACTTCATTTTCTACCCATGCTTCAAAAGTAAAGGTTGTACTTTCAGAAATATACAAGAATCTGTACAAACAGGTATCATTTCAGGGGAAAAAGAAATTAAGAAAAAAGACATGAGCTTCTGTACCAAAGATGGCTTTTCTTCATGGTTTCATAAATGATGTCACTAGAGTCATAACAAAGCACACGTATTTCTCCATAAGTTAAGGGTGTACAGAAATTAGTAGGAACTTGGTCTTTCTTGGTTATTTGTTCATGATTGCAACACTTCATCCCAAGTCCGATTCCTACCTCTGAACCAAAAAAAATTAAAAAGAAAGTCGAGAATCTTGACGGCCATATTTCAAAAGAAAAATTACATTTGAGAGAAATTGGCATATATTTCAATGTTTAATACAAATGCTGGGAAAATCCTTGAAAAATCAGAATATCTACTCCCAAAATATGCGCGCCCATTGCCTAGGCTAATGAGATGGGTAAAAAAAAAGCCTGGATCTTTTAGTTAAGAAAATTTAAGCATGACCACGACTTGATTTGCTCCTGCAATGACTCGAATATGCAAATATTTGTCCGAATCTAGCCAATAAATTTTTAGATGTTTTCCAAAATGGGTTAATAACCATCAATCAATTTCATGAAAGAAAATTTAGCCATTAAAAATCGAGGAACTTGGTCTTTTTTTATAGTTTTGTATTGTCAAAATTGGGCTAGCCACGAACTAGTGGAGAAGTTTGATCCAAGCAATACCAATATTGTACTACATTTAAAAAATAAAAATTAAAGATAAAAAAAAACATAAATAATAAAAAATTTGTTCAACTTTGTTAAGTGGGTATTGTAACCGGCTAACCACATTGATTTTACTCAGTTTTTGACACAACCCAATTTTTTACTACATCAGTCATGGCCCCGAAAGGCAATCCCAGTGGTCAGGCTGGCCTATTCAATCAGGTTTCAGTGACACAGGTTGAGATTCATGTCACTAGAGAAGGGATTGCAAACGTACTTTACATCCGGTAACTTCGATCTGCTTCACTTACGAAAGCAAGATATCCATAATTAAATCACTTTGAATGATCTACAAAGGGCAAATATGAATTATTTCTTTCATTTTGGTGCTTCGTGTACTCATTACCACCCAGTGTGAAATAATTTGCACATGCTCAAAGAAATCCAAAAAGATAAAAAAAAAATGATTTGCACATGCTGCACAGTAAAAATTCCTAAAATGACCATATGTTGTATAAAAGGAAAATAATAATAATTTTTTTACTGTTTCTGGTAACAATAAAAACTTGAGTAAAGTAATATTTTACTGAAGTACAAAATCGATAGGGTCATTCTACCACATATCTCCTAACAGTCATATATAACAAAGAATTTGCCCTTTTTTCTTTTTCTTTTTTGGCAAAAGTTAGCACTTGAAATTTTTGAAAAGGATAAAGGCAAAATTATTCCATTTATATAAAAGTTACACTATGAATATCCGAAATTTCTTTTATACATGAATATCCCGAAAATATCCCTAGTAATGGTCCCAATTTCACTAAAATATTAAAAGAAATTAAAATTTTAAGACCACATGACAAGGATATAATAGAAATTTCCAAATTGACACGCTGCTTATTTGATAAGATCCGAAGAAATCGGTCGTTTTTCACCAAAAAGTTGAAGTATTTGTTTGGCCACCCCTAAAAAAGGGAGTGGCCCCAATCTCCCACCAGCTAAACTCACACAAAATTTTTCAAAAGAAGTTCCAAAATGTCCCCTACTAACCCTGATATTTCAACTCTGCCCTTATCATCGGTAAAAAATTTACAAAATACACTTGCACTTCAAATGATAAGAGTACTAAGTTACAGAGAGAAAGATGATAACGTTCAATCCAAGAGAGACAGACGTTCAATCATGTAGGGAAGAGAGAGATGCCACGGTTTTCATTTGTCATGGACCACCTAGAGAGAGAGAGTTCATCTGTGTCGGTGCCCCTAAGTGTGAAATCAAGTATCACTCCCAAGTAAAAGACGCTTGTCATTTTGCATTTTTCTAATGGATGGTCCAGATTGCAGCAGGGACATCTGCATTTGATAAACCTGAACCCCCATTCACTGCAACTAATCCACAAATTCTCACCTTTCCATGAAACCATCGCTTGCTTTCTCAGCTCATTTCACAAGAAAAAGCAACCAAAACAACAAACCAGGAACCCTAATTCGAGGTGAGGAGTACCTGCTGGAATGATCTTCTGATGAAACCCTAATTTCCTGCGCATTGATCCGCCATTGCCGAACAGCTGAGACCAAACGCCTTGCTTCTCTCCTCCCATCTCAAAAGACCCTTAAAAAGCCCTAATTTCTCTGAACAAAAATCCTCAATCCCATTTCCATGGATCCAGTATAAACACACAACTGAAGACATCGCCTTTTGGTTCGCCTCCCATTCTCAGTCAAAAGATAGAGAAAACCCAAGAAAATGCAGCTTGGAACGGCTATTTTGTCAGAGACAGGCCCTAGAAATTTAAGAGAGAGTTAAGAGAGAGAAAGTGAAGAATGTGTCTGGATATAAATGAGAAAATTTAGGGCATTGAATGAACACAACAACTCAAAGAAGAAGAAATGAATACAGAGTGAGTTGAAAGTACAGATAGGGTTTATATAGGAGAGAGAGTGCCCTGTAAAAAATAGAATTTAATTTTTTATTAAAAATTGTCTGGGAAAAGTCGAGGTAACGTCTCTCTGAGGAGGGCAAAGTATTCAAATTCCAAACCCTAAAACCAAAGTCAAATGGCCCATTGGGCTCCGCTTCTTAGGTGAACTCGGCTGAGGCACACGTGTGAAAGTCTGATGCATTTGATTGGGTTTGTTCTCTCTCTAAGATGGATGGACGGCTGAAAACGAATGCGTGGTTCTTGAGAAATCCAGACCGTTGATGTGGTCCTGGATTGGATCAGAGTGGGTTTTTTAAGATGTTGACAATTCAAAGTGGAGTTATGCTCTTCTTTGGTACGGTGGCAGTCACATTGTGGCTAAATTTGTGGAAAATTTCACACACCCCCAACAATGAAATTGTTGGTAACCTCCCTCAAAGAAATTTATCGGTAACTTTGACCCCATATGACCCTTATCTAACAAATACACCCCCAAGTCAAAATCAAAAGTAGAAAAAACCAAAATGCCCTCCTACCTCTCTCTTCTCCGGTCATGGCAACAGGATAGGCGGTCCGACACTAGCTACACGCGGTTTGGCGGATCCAACATTTGGTTAGGCAATTGTTTCTTTGTCTAGGCTGTCAGTCCAGCAAAAGAAAATGTGATCCAGCACTGGGTGCCCTCGGTCTGGCAAAGTTTTGATGGGGTCCAGCAATTGTTCTACAAAATTCGACATGTGATGGCTTCGGTCCGGCACATCGTTACCTCAATCCTAAATGTCTTTACGTCGGTCCAGCAATTGTTTAATACGGTCGGCATGTCTTTACCTCGGTCCCGCATGCCTTTACATCGGTCCAACAATTGTTTACTACGGTCCGGCAGTCAACATTTGGTTGTGTATTTTACAATGATGTGACGCGAGCTTGTACAGACAAAAGTATTTTGGTCTTAATAAATATAACGTTTTTACTTTAGAGATATTTGTTATAAAAGTATTTTTGAAGTAAAAGTTGCAAAAATAAAATTAATTGGGGAGAGATTGTGTAGAAAGCCCAAAGTTGAGGGTATACACAATTTTTCAAAAAAAAAACAAAAATTTAGTGGAGAGAGAGAGAGGGGAGTGGACACAGAACTGGACCAAAGAGATGTAGAAAATGTAGAGAGAGAGAGATTCTTGAGTAAGAAAATAACTACTTGAAGAATGTGATACAGTTAGTATGGAACACAATGAGACAACGCCTCGAGTGCACTTCAGCTTTTCTATGCTTTTTTGAATTTGCATTTTAGCTTTTATATAAATGTTTGAAATCTTTTATTTTGAGAAAAGTATTCAAGACATAGCTTTTATATAGGTTTTGATTTTCATGTCCACCAAGTTAGAACCAGGGATAAGCCTGATTCCTATAGACTTAGCCTAGTTTTTTCATAAAGGAACCGAATGATCCGAATTGCTTCATCCCAACTAATATTATTTTTAGTATTTTTCATACTTTTATTTTTAAATTTTCATTTTTATTTTAAAACTTAAATTCTATATTTAAAATTTTACTTTTTCTTTTGGGTCTGATTCTCCAATTTGCTGATTGGGATCTCCACCTCACCATTCTAGAATACATTTTTCCGGTTGGTATTCTTCTCTCTTTACACTGGTATTCTTTCGGAGTAATTTTTTTATACACAAAATAAAAAAATGTGTCGTCTTTATCTAAAATTAAAAAAATTTAGATTTTCAACTAGAGAAATCTTCAATGACCCCTCTCTTTAAGTTTTTCTCCATCTCCTTTTCACACGTGTATCTTTCTCCCTTAGGTCTATTTATTTCCTTGATTTTTTATTTTTCTCTCTTTATCTCTGTGCATACGTATTTTCTATCTCACGTACTTTCTATCTCAATTCAGTTTTAGCATATACATATTGGTGCTCTAAGAAATCGAGGCATTTCTATTTAGGGAAAGCTTCTATGTTCCCCTTATAATATAGAAGTTCTATGTTCCTTTTATCCAACCGTCCATTTTTTAATGGAGGGTTAAGATTATCCCAATCAGAATGTCATTTCTCTATACTGTTTTATTTTAATTTTTTTTTTTTCTATAAACTGTTTTGACACTAATTTTGGACGTCCATTCCTATATTAAACTCACACTAAAGAAAAATATAAAAAAATATTTTCAATAAAATAAATTTACCAAAATACCCCTGAAAAGCTTTAAGGGGTATTTTGGTCATTAAATTTTTTATCGAAAATTATTGTTAATATTTTTTATAGGTGCACCCCAATGAGAATATGGCATGTACCAATTTTATATTCAAAAAAGTTGTATTAAAAAAAACTAAAAATAAAATACTTTGAGACGTTAAATCTAAGATCAAATGGTGAGTGGCTCTCTTGATAAAAAATGGACGGTTGGATGGTAGGAGGAACATAGAACTTCTATGTTGTAGGGGAACATAGAAAGCTTTCCCTTCTATTTAACCAACTTTTATTTTCTTTAATCATTATTAAGATTTTCATGCTTATCCTTGATTTTTTTTGAACTATACGTGATTTATCGCAAATTGTTTTATTGTTTTCTGATTTATTTTCCTTTGATTTTTTTCAATATCCTCTTTGTTGTGGTAATTTGGTGTGTTATTATAAGTCTCCCTTGTTTATCCATAATTTCACGAATCTTAAAGAATTTTTGTTTTTGTCATTGAATTGCTATATGTTTCTTCTTTTTGTTATATTTCTACATGTAAGCTCATGATGTGTTTAGAGAGAAGACCCTGCATAATAGAACGTAATTAGAGCAAATCCTTATAGAAAGGAAGACATTATCTATAACTATGGTAAGAAGAAAATTAACAGCGGCATTAATCTTGAGGCCAATAAGAGCAAAAAGATTGCCAATAGAAGACAGGAGAGGACATTGGCAACACATTTTAAGATAAAAAAGATTGCCAATCGAAGATAGGAGAGGACATTGGCAACACATTTCTACGTAGCCAGTAGGGGTAAAGGATGACTGTAGGGGTGGCAATGGATGAAGACCCGAGGGGTAAACCTGATCCTGGTTTGGGTATAGGCCCAGAAATTAGACCAGTGGGTCGGGTCTTGGTCTAAAATTTGGACCCGAAAATTATTTGGGTATGAGACCGGTAGTATTTTTTGGCTTAGTAAGGATGAGCAGAAGGTAAATATGCCTTGGGGACTTTCAATTGGGATGAGGGTATACTTTGTAAGACTCCTACAACAACTGATGTGGTGGATAGAAGAATGGAGTTGGAGTCGTGTGGTAGCATCATTTATGCCCCAGCTAAAATCTAGGCTTTTATTCTCACCTAACATTAAAAAGCCACTAATTATTTAAAAACAAATAAGGGCTCGTCATCGCCATTGAATTATACCAAAAAAATCTGATGTGGTGGATATAGTCGAGTTGGTTTATGTGATACCAAACAATGCACTTAACGACACGTTGACCACTAGGATGATGGTTGAGCGGACTTTGAGTTATCTCATCATTCATTTTGGAATTAGATCGGGTGTTCGTCTTACATCATTTTGATATTTGAATGTTCCTATGGATGTCATTGTTGTCATTTTGCATTGTTTTAGACAGTGAGATGACTTCACAAACCCTAAAAAATCTATTTCTTAATTTATTATATCTTTATTTTTTTTACTTGTGAAATGCCGCTGAACAAATCAGAAACGGCTCAAATCGCCAGTCTACAAAGGTTTAGTGGGTGAGCGGCTCCAAGGTATATAAACTTGTTCCTTTAGTAAAAAAAAAATTTGACTAACTTGGTTAATCTAAGATATGAGGGCCAAACGGTAGGAAGTTTAGGAAAACGACTGAAGAAAACTTGTTTGTTAGTCTTTTTAAATTACTAGGGGATAAAATAACATTTAAGAGGCCCACGTGCTCACCCAAATTCCCAAATCCTGGGCCGGTTGGCTAGGGGTGGCCATGGACCGGGTAGCATGGTCTGCCCCACTCGGCCCGACCCTAAAAATTAGGGCCTGGGCTAGGTTAAGCCCGGCCCAGCCCTCCCCTTAATTTTATCTCTTTTGCATTCCCTTGATAGGATAGAGCCAGTAAGAAATAGTGCGGAGTTAGAGCTAGGGCCGGCCAAGTGGGGAGTTAACTCTCTCGGACTTGAAATATTTTTTTCTTTTCATATTCATACATCTAGATATCGAGATGATCAATTAGAGGGTTTTCCAATATAAAAACAATCTTTTATGATGAATTTTTTAAGTGCCTCTTTAATTGTACATTTCAAGGTTGCTACCTTATCTAAAAAAATAAAAAAAAGTTACAAAAAAATCTTCCCTAGCTCTCTACTTTTAGTGGGCGAAAAGACCTAACACGATGGTGCTTGTGCATGTATTGAAAGGAACATTTCCCCGGTGTAATGGAAATTAAATTTTGTACATAAGCTTCGAGGTATGAGGGCATTTTAGTGAAGTCTATGATAATGATGAGAGAAGCAGTCTCTTAGAACTTAAAAGGGCCTTTGACTCGACCAACCCTTGTCGTTTCAGGCTGAGGGCTCCCCAGTTCTTGATGACCCAGAACTGGGGAATTGGTCACATTGTTCATAACTACACAGTTCACTACTAAGACTCGGGTGATTCTCGAGTTTAGGTTGACTTTTTTATTTTTCATAATTTTTTTTACCCAACAAATCCAAAGGCTGACTCGAGAACCGACTATCTGACTCAGATTGTCGGGTCCCATAGTGGGCATCCCCAGCTTCTTTTAAATCATGGGCAATAGTTGTGAATTTATAGACTCAAAATGGTTAATAATGTGTTACAATGCTAAAATTTTCCACACAACATACCATTTCTCATTTACTAACACAAATAGAGGAGTATGGGTTTATTATAGCAAGTCGAGGAGGGTTGTGATATAATAAACAAAAGAAAAAGAGGAGAAATATAGAGAAAAAAACCCGACGCATTTTTAAGGGAAAGTTGGAAATTATAATTGTGAGGGAGGGATTGCAATAGTGGACAATAAAAAGACGTGTAAACGGACAGCAATGAAAGACAAAAGATATTATGAAGGGCAAGGGCATCACGGGCGACAAGGGGGTTAAAACCTTTACTTCCCCAACGTATGAAG